AGGGCCCTGCCTACCCTCAGAAGCCAACCAAGGGGATTGCACGCACAAAATGCACCCCCCCCTGGGAGGGGGGGGCGGGGCGGCGGCTCGTCATTTTGCGCCCTTCGCCATGACATCCCAAAAAACAAGACCGCTGATCTCACCGCCAGACTGCACCCTTGAGGCAGATGCTTCGAGACGGCGACAGGCACGCAGAGTTTGCGAATAAATGGGGGCAAGCATTGTGCCTGGCCAGTATCCAAGAAAGGACGGCAGCGGTAGCCGAATAGACGCGAGCGCGCGCGGGGCCGCTGGCCTCGCCGCCAGGCTGCGCCCCTGAGACAGTCACCTCGCGACGGGGATAAGCGCGTAGAATCCGCGGACACGCGAAAGCTGGCAACGCAGCCAAACGGCGAATAAAAGGAGACGACTAGTACCCAAGGAAACGTGAGAGCGCGTAGGACCGCTGGCCTTGCCTCCAGGCTGCGTCTTGAAGGCAACTGCCTCGCGACGGGGGCAAGCGCGCAGAACCTGCGGATGCACGAAAGCCAGCATGCATCCCAGCCAGCGCCCAAGAGGAGACGAGCAGGACCGCCGGCCTCGCCGCCTGGCTGCGCCCTTGAAGCAACTGCCTCGCGACGGGGATAGCGCGCATAATCTGCGGGCGCACGAGAGCTAGCACCGGCCGCTTGCCAGGCTCCAAAAGAAGACGAATGTGGTAGCCTAAGAGGCGTGAAACTGCGCGAGGCCGCCGGCCCTGCCGCCGCGCCTTGCGCGCGGCGCCACTGCTCGCGACGGGGGCCAGCGCGGAGAACTGCGAAAACTTCGTTGCACTGCCGCCAGCAAGCGCCCACGAACAGACGGATCGCGATAACTGGGGAAACGCGAGAGTACGAAGGACCGCCAGCTTCTCCGCCCGGCTGCGCCCTCGAGGCAGATGGCTCGCGACGGGAGTGAGCGCGCGAAATCTGCGGACGCACGAGAGATGGCACTGCCGCCAGCAAGCCACTAAGAGGAGACGACCCTTGGTAGCGGATAGACATGAGAGCGCGCAGGGCCGCCGGACTTGCCGCTGGGCTTTGCCCCGGAGGCAACTGTCTTGCGACGGTCCTTGATGCCACTGCCGCGGGACGGGGGCAAACGCGCAGACTCTGTGGATGCCCGATTCTCGATATGCCACCAGCAAGCGTACGATCGCGGTGCCTGGAGAGATATGAAAGAAAACATGCCCGCCACCCTTGCCGTTGGACCTTGAGGCCACTGCCTCGCGACGGGGGCAAGCGCGCAGAATCTATGGACGCACGGAGGCCACCACTGCCGCCAGACCGTGTCCTAAAACGACGAGCCGCGGCATCCAGCGAGACGTGAGACCGCACAGGGCCGCTGGCCTCGCCGCAGGGCTATGTCCCGAAGGCATCTGCCTCGTGACGGGGGCAAGCGCGCAGAATCAGTGGATGTGCGAAGGCCAGCATGCACCCCAGCCAGCGCCCACGAGGAGGCGAACCGTGGTAGCCACAGGGACATGAGATTACGCAGGACCGACGATCATTGAGGCAACTGCCTCGCAACGGGGGTAACAAACACCAGTGGGTGCACGAAAGCCTGTATTTCCGCCAGCCAGCGTCGAAGAGGAGATGGACCGTGATAACGGATAGACGCAAGAGCGTGCAGGACCGCCGGCCCTGCCACCAGGTTTTGTCCTTGATGCAATTGACTCGCGACGGGGGCAAGCGCACATAAGCTGCGAATGCACGAGTGTCACTGCTGTCGCCAGCCAGCGCCCAAACGAGTGCCAGAGGAGAGGCGTGAGAGTGTGCGGCGTGTGCGGCACCGCTGGCCTTGCCGCGGGGAGTGCCCTTGAGGCAAGTGCCTCGCGACGGGGGCGGGCGCGCAGAATCGATCGATGCACGATTGTCGGCACAACCGCCAGCCAGACTCCGAAAGAAGACGAATCGTGGTAACCGCACGGACGTGAAAGTGCGCAGGACCGCCGGCCTCACCGCCCGGCTGCCTCGCGACGGAGGTGGGAGCACGCAGGACCACCACTTGCCGCTGGACTGTGTCCTTCAGGCAACTGCCTCGCGACGGGGGCAAGCAGGTGCTGTGTCGAGACACCTGGGCGAAGATCTCGAGTTCCTCGCAGTGAAGACCTCGATTTAAAGACATCATCGAGCTGAAGGCCTCGTGGTGAAGACCTCGACGTGAAGCCTTCGAGATGAAGGCCTCGAGGTGATCCTCGACAAGGCGAAGACCTCTCGGTGAAGACCTGGGAGTGGAGGCCTGAAGGTGAAGGCGTCAAGGCCAGCTCTTGCCGCTGGGCTGCCCTCGAGGGAAGTACCTCGTGTGCCCGCGTCGCCCAGGCTTCCTGACCCCATGGGGTGATTGTGCAGGTGCTCTGAGGGCGTGCGCCATGCGCGCACCCTTGCCGGCGCCCCATGCGTCCTGCACAACAGCCACCCCAGGGTCTGCGGAAAGCCATCGGCATGGGGGCAGGAGGGAGGAGGAGAAGGAGGAGGAGGAGGAGGAGCAGGGAGGGAGAAGGGAGGGGGGAGGGGAGAGGGCGGGGGATGGCAAGCTGGGTGTGCTCGCGCCATATCTGAGAACCCCTTCCCACCCATCCCTTCCCATCACTCTGATGATTCTCCGTCCGCCGACGTGTGTCATAGTGAACCTGGAACCTGAAAATGGCCCCATCGTGCGATGCGCAATCAGAAAAAAAGAAAGCTGTGCACTTGGGAGGAAGAGGAGGAGGAGGAGGAAAAGGAACAGGAGGTGTGGATGAGCAGGTGGATGGACGGCAGGAGAAGGAGTTGTGGATGAGCAGGTGGATAGGCGGAAGGAAGAAGTGGAGGACGAGGAGGAGGAGGAGAAAGGAGGCGGAGGAGAAGGAGACGGCCCAGCACCAGGAGCAAGAGCAGGAGAAGCGGGAGGAGTAGGAGGACCAAGGGCAGGCGGGGGAGGGGAAGGGAAGGAGTCGACAACGACGAGGAGCCACTCGGATCCGGAAATGTGGCCCACGCTGTGGCGATAGCGCCAATCTGAACGACGGGAGCGAAGCGCGGATCCTGAACTGATGCCAACGCCAAAAAGAAGCACCATTGTGAAGACCACCGACACAATCCAAATATAATACAAAACATCGCATCTGAAAAAGCTACGCGCTAAAAAACAACATGCGGGAGAACAGAGGCCCCGCTCGGACAGCATCCAGGGACAGACGAAAGCAGCGTTCGTGTGGAATGATGGTGAAGGGGCGGCGAAGAAGAGGAGGAGGAGGAGGAGCAGGAAGATGAGGACCAGAGAACGACCAGCAAGCATCAGCGATGCTGCATTACACCCTCCCGTCCCAAATCCCCTCCCAAGAGGCGCCCCCCTTGGAGGCGCCCCCCTTAGAGGCGCCCCCCTTGGAAGCCTTCCTGCTCACAACAAGAAGCGCCGCCCCTTGGAAGGCCAGCACCTGATGAGGCCTGCCATGCGGGCGAGAGCTACGTCTTGAAACGAAACTTTAGATCGGGCATGTCCCCCATACAGGGGGATTTTGGGCGAAAGATTAGAAATACCCCAAACATATTTCAAAAATGATCAAAAATAGACAAAACATCGTCACCCGATTATGTTTTTGCTACTTTTGGAGGTCCCCCCTGTAGAGGGACAGGCCCGACTTACAAGAAACTGCCTGGCACCCTTCCAGCGCGCAATCAGGAATGCGAGAGACATGATCATGCGGGAAGCCCAGCAAGATCCCCGTTTTGAAAAAAAGGTCTGCCCTCCGTCCAATCCGCAAAACTATTGCACAAGCTCGCACATTCTATTGTTCATACATATGCATACATATATATATATATATATACATATTCCGGCAGCGGTCGTTACCCGGGAGAGGGGGGAAGGGGTGGTTAGGGCGCCGGGTAACAGTATCGCTTGGGCGGGGTGGAGCACGTCGGCGCGGGGGGGTGAGCTGCGATCGCCAAAGTACGCGCGCGAGCACCAGCATAGGGGGGGGCTCAAGCCCCCCTAACCCCCCACGTACGATCGTTGCCGTTACCCGAGGGATGGACGTTGGTCCAGGTAGCGACCGTCAGGCGCCAGAGGATAAAAAACAATCTCCCTCTGGTCATGAACTTCGAAGAAAGTCCTAAGCCAGGGCCCCGCACTGAAAAGGAATTGCCCTCTATCCCTACAACTGCTACACAAGTCGGAGCTTCTGGCCTTGAATACTGAGGAGGTCTCCTGCGAGAGACCCATTTTGAAAAGGAGCCGACATGCATCCTTGCCAATACTTCGCGGCGCTAATGCGAGGGCCCCAAATTGAAAAGAAACCGCCCTCCATCCTTACAACTATTGCGAGGAAACTTGTAAGACGAACATGCGCGCGGCGCTAAGGCGAGAGCACCATGTTGAAAAGGAGCCGCCCCCCATCGTTGCAAATGTTGCCAACTATGAAAAACGAATGCGCGCGGCACTAAGGCGAGTGGCCAATTTTCAAAATGAGCCGCCCTCCATTCTTGCAACTGCTGAACTCGTAAGACGAGTGTGCGCAGCGCTGGGGCGAGAGCTCAATATTGAAAACGACCCCGCCCTACCGACACGTCTGCGAGGAGTCATCTACGCAAGAACAGGGACGGAGGAGGAGGAAAGGAAGAAGTAGCAGGAGGATCGAACTAAAAACATCCTTCGGAGGTCCCAGTCGTCGTCGTCGTGACCTTTCCTCTCTTCTCATATTTTCGGGTCGATCACGGTGCGACATGTCGCGGCGACGATGACCTCACGAAGCGCCAGGACAACCTCCGAAACGAACACGTCGACGTCGCCGTCGGCGTCGCCATTGTCGTCGGCGGCGTCGAAGTCGTTGTGGAGGCGAGAAGCCCGGGGAACGCTCGTATGACTCCGGAGTGACGATAGCGTCGATGTCGACGTCGTCGGCGCCTTCTCTCTCTCTCTCTCTCTACTGCTTTTGGTCCTCCGGTCGAGGGGCCTCCACCAAGGGCTGGCTCGCGGCCAGTAGAGGGGCGCGCCTCGATTCAGTGGCGCCCTCGCGGAATCGCGCGCGCGCGGGGGCGCACGTTCCACCGGGGCGCACGGAAAGCCCACCCGCGGCCGCCCGCGGCCTGAAGCCGCGCGCCGCATCGGCGGTGCGCCCAGCGGTGCATCGCGATCCTCCGACACCATCCGATCCAGCCCCATGCGATTTGGGCGGCGTGGACCACTGGTCCATGGACTGGGGGGGGGGTCCAAGACGAGGGGGTGCGGAAGAGGAGGTCAGCAAAGCGTGGCCCAGGGCAGGTGCGCGGACGAGGAAGAGAACCAGCGAGCGTGGAACGTGCTGAGAGAAGAAGGGAGGGGGAGGAGGAGGAGGAGGAGGAGGAGGAGGAGGAGGAGGAGGAGGAGGAGGAGGAGGAGCAGGAGGAGCAGGAGGAGGGGGGGGGGGGGAGGGGGGGGGGGGGGGCGGGGTCGAAACCCGGGATATCATGGCCCCCGCCCTGACGTCCACCCCCTCTTGTCATCACCCCCACGCTTGGCCGCCCCCGAATCTGGGCGGCACGGGTCACTGGTCCATGGAGAAGACCGCGGGGCCGCCTGCGGCCTGGAGCCGTTCGCGCAGGTCCTCGACCTCCCGCTCGAGCGCGGCGCGGCGCCGCCTCTCCTCCGAAGGGGGGCGCCGGCAGGAGGCCACCGCCATCGACATCTCCGCCCCCGCCGCCGTCGACGCTCTCGCCGCCGTAGCAGCCGTCGTCGCCCCCGTCCCCGCCCACCGTCGCCCGCGTCGCCGCCCTCGTCGCCGTCGCCCACGCGACCGTCACCGGTGTCCCCGCCCTCGTCGCCATCGCCGTCGTCGCCCTCGCCGCCGTCGCCAACTTTGTCGCCGTCGCTGCGGACGTCCCCAGGGGACTGCACGCCGACGTCGATCCTGGCCAGACCAGACCACTCCTGGCCCCAGGATCGGCGCTTGCGCCATCCTGGCTGGAACTGCAGCACGTATGCACCGGCCCGTCGGGAGAAGCTAAGCCCAGCTGGCGGCCCACCAGATGGGGCCCCTTGGTTCCCACCGCACTTGTGCACCCACTGGACTCAGCGTCGCCCGAGAGGGGGCTGAGCCCAGTTGAAGGGCCAACGAAATGGAGCGCCCTGGTCACGACTGGACCTGCTCAAGCCGAGCTCAACGTCGCCCGAGTCCTGGGGGCCCAGGGGTGGCCCGGCCAGGACTGGTGTCGATGCACCCACCGCTGGCGCTCCCCGGCTCCTCCGACAATTCCGCCTCCAGGCGCCCCAGCCTGCAGTTTGCATCCGTCAGGTCCTCGCGCACCGCCGGGAGGGCAAACCCACATCCACGGGATCCTGGAGTCCTGCCCCGACGCCCCCTGGGGAGCAGCAAATGTGGGGCATCGTCCCGCCAGCGGGGGCTGGCAGATGCCCACAGCTTGCCTGGCACTCCGCGGGCCCCAGGGCATGACCCCGAGCCGGTGGACGTGGATATGTACTCTGGCGGTGGGCCTTGACCATAGGCGCGAACGCCACGGCAGGGAACCACCCCTGGCGGCCATCGGAGCGGCCGTAGGCCCACCCTGACTCCTCTGGGCGGCTCCTGTGCTGCACTAGCGGCGACCCTGCCCGCAGCGAGATGTACTCGTCGCCGTAGGAGCTGTGGTCGAAATTCATCTTGCTCACCCCGTGGTCCTCGTCCTCCTCCACCATCTCGCCCTTCCGCCCGCCCTCCTCAGAAAAAGAAACAACAGCGTAAGCAAAACATTCCGGGAGCTCCGCGCGGAGCTCTTGGATCGGCGCTGGACCCATTCTCCGTCCCTGGCGCGCGGAGCGTGTCAAGGGCGGCGCCAGAGGCGCTGCCAGGGGGGCCCAGCGCCGATCCCATCAAGCCGCACGGACCTCAAACATATTTGAAGGGGCCCTGGGACACACAAATAAATAGACACAAATAAGAGGATTCCCCATATTTCCCACATTTTCTGGGTTGTTATCTTCCCCCCCACACCCCATGTTTTCCTACATTTCCTGGGGAATCGGCGATGAATTGTGTCTGTGACTTTTTCTTCCCTTCCTCAATCTGAATGTTTGCTTCACACGGGGACGCAACTCGATGAAGCGAGCCTCCACCCCATTCGCGTGTCTCGTCCAGCGTGCAGCCGTGAAGGCGACGACGAGGAAGGCGGACCTCCGAAAGCTTGGAGGGCTTCTGGCCCCTACGGAGCCCCAGACCTGGCCGAAATCGGCGCATGCCTCCGACCCCCGAGAGGCCGACCGCCGCATTCCGATGCGTTTGTGATACTGCGAATGCGAATGATAGTTTGAGGACGACTTGATGATGCTGATGATGCTGATGCTGATGCTGATGCTGATGATAATGCTGATGCTGATGCTGATGCTGATGATGTTGTTGATGATGATAGTGGTGTTGCTGATGATGATGATGATGATGATGATGATGATGATGATGATGATGATGCTGATGCTGATGCTGATGCTGATGCTGATGCTGATGATGATGATGATGATGATGATGATGCTGCTGGTGGTGGTGGTGATGGTGATGATGATAATGGTGGTGGCGGTGATGCTGATGATGGTGATGATGATGATGGTGGTGATGATGATTATGGTGGTGGTGGTGGCGATGGTTATGGTGATGGTGATGACGGTGACGATGACGATGACGATGACGATGACGATGACGATGATGATGACGATGACGCTGATTATGATTATGAGTACGATTATGATTATGATAACGATGATGATGCTGATGATGCTGATGCTGATGCTGATGATGATGATGCTGCTGATGATGATGTTTATGATGATAGTGGTGTTGATGATGATGATGATGATGGTGATGATGGTGATGATGATAATGGTGGTGGCGGTGATGCTGATGATGGTGATGATGATGATGATGGTGGTGATGATGATTATGGTGGTGGTGGCGATGGTTATGGTTATGGTGATGGTGATGACGGTGACGATGACGATGACGATGACGATGATGATGACGATGATGATGATGATGACGATGATGCTGATTATGGTTATGAGTACGATTATGATTATGATAACGATGATGATGCTGATGATGCTGATGCTGATGCTGATGATGATGATGCTGCTGATGATGATGTTGATGATGATAGTGGTGTTGATGATGATGATGATGATGATGATGATGATGATGATGATGATGATGATAATGGTGGTGGCAGTGATGCTGATGATGGTGATGATGATGATGGTGGTGATGATGATTATGGTGGTGGTGATGGCGATGGTTATGGTGATGGTGATGACGGTGACGATGACGATGACGATGACGATGATGATGACGATGATGATGATGATGACGATGATGTTGATTATGATTATGAGTATGATTATGATTATGATTATGATTATGATTATGATTATGATGCTGATGATCCTGATGCTGATGATGATGATGGTTTCTGGTGCTGTGCTGCTGCGCGTCTCGGCGCAGCCTGACAGAATGGCGGTCGGTCCAGCCAGGTTTCTGAGAACTTGGCTCCAGATTCGCTTGCAAAGTTCTCTCAAGCCGACCCCCGAGCAGGCCGACCGTAGCACTCCGACGTGATATGTTTTCATCGGCCGACATGTGCGACCGCGCCCAGGCCAAGATGCTTCTCCCTCGGCTCCCGTCGGGCGCACGCTGACGTGGATAAGGCATTTGTAGATCGGACGCGTGGGCACCACATCCACGGATTGGGGAAGGGACCCCTGACACATGAGGCTAAGGCCGCCTGATCTGGCGACGGAGATCGCCGAGTCTGTGGGGCAACGGGACCTGTCGCTGATCCACGCGGGTCCCACAAATATACGACACCACCCCCGTTCCCCCTCCCCCCTCCACCCTCCTCTTCCCCTCCCCCTCCCTGGGAGAGGGAGGGGGCGAGGAAGCTGGTGGTTGGTGGTGGTGGTGCATACTCCGGGGCCCCGTACATCCGCGCGCCTCAATCCATGCTTGCGATTCCACGGCTCCTGTCGGAGGCGCGCAAACATGGATCGTAGCGATCCATGGACTTGGCGCGCGGTCGCCAGATCCATGGAACGGAAGAGGCGCCCTCTCCCCAAAATACGGCCGATGCCGCCTTGTTCGGCGGCTGAAATCCGCGGTTTCCCCAGGAAACGGGACCCGTCGCCAATCCAGAAATCCGATGTCGTGATTTTTTCCATGCGCGGCCCCCCGAAGTCTCGACCAATTCCCCAGGACCAGCTTTTCATCCAGAGTCGTTTTTTTGACAGGCCCGTGGCCTGGCGAGGGCCCCTAGAGGCCGAAAACTGAGAGAACAAAAAAAAAAAGCCGCCGCCTTGATCTTGTTTTCAACGCGCTAGATCTCTGAGAACCCACGCCCCCTTCATCTGTGTGTGCGATCGCCCGATCCTGCTCCCAGCCGGGCGCGGGGCGCCTCGCGGCAGACGCGCCCTTCTCGGCTACAGGCAAGAGTGACCCTGGGTAAGAGTGACCTTTGGTGCGCGGCTTCTTCTGGGCCGCGGGGAGGCAAAACCCGAGCGCGCAAGACGCTGCTACCGCCTCGCGCGGAGTCACTTGGGGGCCCCGATGTGCCCGCACCAGGAGGTCACTCCGGCGAAAGGTCACTCTTACGTCTAGTCGACCTTCCCCCTGCCCGGCGCCGAGCCTCCGCCGCCGGCCGCCGCGGCCGCGCCGTGCGGCGGCGCCGCGCGCCCCGCCGCGGCCGCGGCGCCCGCACCGTGCGGCGCCCGGTGGCGCCCGGCGGCGGGCCCGTGCGGCGCAGCGCCCCAGGCGGCGCCGGGAGCGCCCGACGGGCCGACGTCCACCGAGCGCTTGTAGGGGGCCTCCTGCGAAGCCTACCCCTACGGCCCACGATTTCTGAGAGGGAGGGTGGGGTTCACTTCGTTCGGGAGCTCCCGAGCGAAGTGAGCCCCACCCTCCCTCTCAGAAATCGTGGGGGGTGGGGGTAGGGTTCGCAGGAGGCCCCCTAGCTTGTCACAGGCCCTGATCCACGTGTCCGCGCCCTCCTGGGTTGGGGGGCGCCAGCAGCTGGATCGTGTGGGGCCCATCTTGGGGCTTCCAGGGGCCATATCTTGGGGCGCTTGTGGCCCGTCCTGGGGGCCTTAAAAGCCCTCGGCAGCATCACGCCACAGTGCCTGTGATTGCGGGTCAATGTCCTCTTGGATGCCGCATGGGGGCTCTTGGGAGGCATTTCGGGAGCCTCCTTGGAGGCTATCTAGAAGCCTCGTGGAAATTTTGTCGGGGCCTTCTGAGGCCGCTTGTTGGGCCTCTTGGCGGCCTCTTGGGGGCCTCCCGGGTGCACACTGGCGGTCTCAGGGGCTCTTCGGGGCGGAGGGCTAGAAAAGTCAGTTCGTGATCCCCCTCCTGGGCCGTCTTGGGGTCCCGTTGGGCCGTCTTGGAACCATCTTGGGGCCCTATTGGGCGGTTTCGGGGCCGCCTTGAGGGCGTCTTGAGCCGTCCAGGAGCGATCTTGAAGACCTCATTGACCGTCCTCGAGCGTCGGGAAGCTGAAAAACCAGAAGCGACAAAGTCCGTCCAAGTACCCACGGAAAATAAATGGTTTGGGGCTCTCGGGGTTTTCCTGGGGATGATATTGGGGAAGTTTGTGCGACGTTCTCGGGCCTCCTAGGGCTGCCTGGAGGCCATCTTGGGCGTTTTGGAGCGACTTGTGGCAACTCAGAGTTCTCTTGGACCGCGTCTGGGTTCCTCCTTGTTCCACTGGGGCGCCCCTGGGGAGCAAAGCTGGGGGGTCTAATCATGCGCCCCTATGGTACCGAGGTGGCGGATCCCAGGGCTGGGGGGAGGCGCTATAGAGTAGACTGGCTACGCAAACATATAGATCGATACATACAGATATACACATCATGAATATGGAACTGTGCATGTGTACGCATATGTATGTGTGTATATGTGTATGTACATATTTATGTGTGTATACCGTCGTGTATACATTGACATACATATGCACGCTTGTGTATAAATACATATATATATATGTCTATATAAATGCATACGTGTATAGATCGCAATATGTATAAATGTATCTGAATATAATATACATGTATGCACCAATAAATATATATATATATGTATGTATGTATACAACTGTATATCTGTGTATGTGTATAGATGCATCTGTGTACATGCATACTAGACATGGATTTGTCTATATATGTCTATATACATACATACATATACATATAGATATAGATGCATATCGAACCCAGTCGGTGCCCCAGAGCGGCGAGGCCAACCCCCGGTGCACGATGTAGAGTCCGCTTCGTCCAATGCGGTGTCGGCCCCCGGACCCAGGACAGCCCCGAGCCAACACAGCACACACGACAGAGGCCGCTTCCGACGCCAACTGGACGGGCTCTGGTCTCGCCAACGGGGCGGCGGATGCAGAACGGCTGCAGGCTCCAGTGGCGAAAGCCAGACAGGCCAGAAGCCCAAGGCCAAGGCCGTTGTCAAGGCCTTCGCCGCAAAGGCCCCTCAAGGACGACTTCTGAGGGCGCAGACGTGGGGGCGCCGGCAAACCAGGCACCATACGAATAAAGGGTAACCCTGTCCCCACGCGCCACGTTCGGGAAGGGCCTACGGATCCAGACGGGCCCTTGTGGCCTGAAACTCCGTGGGGACGCACTTGCGGTCCGCCCCGCTGGTTACCCGCCTCAACGCGGCGGGCCCAGCGGGAGTCTGTGCCTGCCCCAGACATCGACAACTGACCTGGTTACCCTTTGAAGACACATGCGCGCAACGATGAAGCAAGAACCACATTTTGAAAATCACCCCCCCTCCATCCGTGAAACTGATGCGGAGTAAGCTTCAGGATACCGTAAATGGTGAGGAAATCTCATACGAAACGCCCGGCCGCCCTATCGACACGCCTGGGGTTGCGAAAGGGAAGAGTTAGTTTAAAAGAAAGTAAATGGAAGAGGAGGAGCCTCCTGCCTGGAGCTGCTCCCAGCGTCCTGCCGCAACTGGAAGCGAGCGGCACCGTCAGCGCGCATGCTGATACTGACGACCATCTCCACCTGCTCCGGGCTCGGGCGACACCTCATGTTGTCGATGACCGCCTTCGTTGCGCTCCTCCTCATCCTTCTCCTGCTTCTCCTCCTACGAAGACTACGACAACTACGACGAGTACTGCACGAAGCATGGGCAAGGACTGCGTTCTGCTAGCACGTTCAAAAACCTCGGGGGGACTCGCAGCGCGAAACTATTGCACCAAGCGCGGGACTGAGAGCGCTGTACACAGCGCTCGTGTAAAGCCCCCCCGCTAGGCCGTGCGCGCTAGAGTGCCCCGTTATCACAGTTGCTCAACGAGGTAACGCAAGGACGACGGCGCAGACAAATGCCCGCATCGAGCAGTCCCACCAAGCACTAGACTTGAATTCGAATGCGGATGGCTAGCGGTTGTCCTATTCCAGGTTTGCGAATGCGTTCCGAAGCCGCTGCCTGCTTTCACGCAGATATCCACCAGCAGGAAGCGTCCACCAAATGGGATCCCCGCGCCGCGCATGGACATTCAAATCGAACCACGCCCATCGACCCGCAATCGTCTTCACTGCCGCCGTCAGTCAGTACACTTAATTGCGCGCAACTGCCGCGAGTGACCCCATGAAGACTCCAATGCGACCCCGCGGCGTCGCAGCAGGCGGGCGGCCCGAACCCAGACGGCGTCCTAGAAGACGACGAGGCACACGAACTAGCACCATCACTCTCAACATCGGCATCTTCATCGCCACCATAACCAAGATCGATGTTACATCATCGTTTGCATTACCGCATCACCGCGGGCCCTAACTAGATGGAAGTTTGTACAAGGAGGTCGCGCGTCAATTCCCCAACCGTCGTGACGTAAAGTATTCGTTCAGTATGGTTCGAAGCTGCTGACAATCATCAGGAACTGCGGAACATATACACTGCTCGCGACGGCGAGTCCCGACTTGCGCGGAGTGGTTTCGAGTCCCCGATTTGAACTACGGGACAAAAAAGCTACGGGGACCGAAACTGCTTCACCGATTACCATAAGCCCAAATTCCACGCAAGGAGTTACCAACATGATCGGAAGCTGAACCATTGTAGAATGCCCGCCAGCGTGAACCACACGCAATGCGTGATTGCACCCTGGATGGAAATTGACGTGCAAACTTTGTGGTGAGGTCTACGTGGCGCAAAATATGCGTTGCAAGCAATGTGGTGCAAGCTATGCGGCGCAAGCTACGTGGTGCAATATACGTGGCGCAAGCTATCTGGTGCCAGCTATTTGGTGCAAGCTGCGTGGTTTAAGCTATTTGGTGCAAGCTACGTGGCGCGATTGGTTTCATCAACAAGCTGACACATTCCACGATCTTGCAAACATTCCACCCACCCACGCGCAACTTGATTTGCAAAACCCATGCGGCGGCAATTGCGATGAGTGCATGGCGTTGGCTGGTGCATCTCGGCGGCCTTGCCAACCAGAGCACGCGCGCGCAGCGGCCAGCTAATTTGGCGCGACCGGCGCGGCCGCGGTGCCGCTGACCGCTAGGCACATCCCAGCGGGCACTTCAGTGGGAGAAGGCGGCTTGGGCGGGCGCGGTAGTATGGCAACGTCGACAACGGTGGACACGATGATGATAGTAGCGATGGTGGTGACGATGTTGGCAACGACGACGGCACGGCCAGTGACGGCGCCGATGCTGATCACGCCGACGTCGATGACAGCGTCCTCGCGTTGGTGATGAAGGTTTCGGAAGGAGTTCGACATGCGCGCGCGGCCGACGCGCGAGAGTGGCCTGCATGGTGTTATTTGAAACGGATCGTGCCCCCCCCAACACGCGCGCAAGGGCGTGCGAATGATGTCGGCATGCCGCCCGAAAGGCCCGTGTGGCAGAACTCCATGAAAATGTTGAAAACCGATGGTTTTCTTAGAAATTCGCAAAAGCGAGAGCGCAGGCTTTTTTGAAAAACTGGTGTTGCGAAACAATGTGTTTGAATCTGGTTTCGGAATATTCGATTGTGCAACCCTTACGAAACCTAAGGTTTTTGTCTGGTTCCAGCATGCGCGCGCGACGACATGCGCGTGCGCACTTCGTCCCATTTGTTGCAAGGGATTCTTGCGACAGCACGCGCGCAAGGGCGTTCGAACAATTTCGACATGCGCGCGCGAACCCCGTTTGGTAGTTTTGTATGAAGATGCTGAAAAAAAAGACAGCTGGTTTTCTTGAGAACTCGCAAGAGCGCGAGCGCAGGCTTCTCTGAAAACTGATGTTGCGAACCCACGTTTGTTTTTACATGTTCTTGGCACACTCGGCTTTAAAATTCTTACGACATCAGGTTTTTGAAGGATCTCGGCATGCGCCCGCGACGACGCGCGAGTGTGCACTTCGCCCCGATACTTCAAAGCTGCTGATTTTTGATAAACGAGTGCGCGCGCATCGTATTGTATTCCATAAGATGACGAGGGGGGCGATACCTGCCTGCCTGGGATGGTACGAGCTCATATTTAGGATGGACGACGGGGCAGAAACATGTGGTAATTGCAATACGACCAGGGGGGGCGGATAATCCCGGGGGGAGGTCGAATCGAATTCCTGTCAAAGAAAAGAGAATGAACTTAAACTAACGCCGCAACCCCACGGCTCGCGCAAATATCCCACCTTTTCCACTCGAAGATTGCTTTGCAAAGTCCATACATGCGCGAGTGATGTGACTGCTTGGCAATGGCTGGCGCATCCCCGCGGCATCGCTGGCGCGGGCAAGCTCACGCGCAGAGCTGACAGCTGGCTTGACAGAACCGATGCGGCCGCGATGGCGCTTCCCGGTGAGAACTTCCCAGCGCGTTTCAAGAGCCGCGCTTGCCCGCGGGCGCTTCAGTGCGCCGGGCGGGCGCAATACCATGATGACGTCGGCAACGGTGGCAACGATGATGATAGTAGCGATGGTGGTGGCGATGATGACGATGACGACGGCAAGGCCAATGACGGCTCCGATGCTGGTGACGACGATGGCGATGATGATGATGATGATGATGATGATGATGATGATGATGATGATGATGATGATGATGATGATGATGATGATGATGATGATGATGATGATGATGATGTCCATGCGTCCATGCATCGGCGCTGTAGGCCATTGATTGATGATGGCGGCAATGGCGACGATTGGTGATAATGATGACGGCGGTGATGCGATCGCGCTGATAAGCGTGATGGTGAGAAAGTGCGCGTGCAGAAACTGTATACTTCTGGGATACCTTTCTTGAAAAGACGCTTAGCAACATACTTTTGTAAAGCTCTATATTGAAATGTTTCGCATACGAAATTGCGTTGGAAGGATTGCGACACGCGCGCGTGGCGGCGCGCGCGTGTGGCCCGCATGGTATAAGTAGACACGGGTTCGTGAAATGGGCACATGCCAGATCAACGCAAATTCACCGCGTGGTGATCTGAGAATGCGGGTGCTGGACGATATTAATGAAACGAATATTGTGGTATTATGGTTTCGCACGAGGGCCGGGTCAAAAAACAGCCAGCACCTTGATTCGGAATCTAAAGGGTGTTTGAGGTGTTCATACTGACATGCGTGCGAAGCTAGTGTGTACGGTGTGGCGTCGAGAGGTGCGCGCGTGTGGACGGCGTGGCATCGTCTGCAAAGGGTTAATGCAAAATGATACTTCGAGACAGACGAATGCGGGAGGAGGCGGGGAGGTCGGTGCCCGGTCTCCTGGGATGGTACGATTTCGTGTGGAACAACGGGGAGGCACGATCACATGTAAACTGCAGTACCCAGAGAGGGGGGGGGGGCGTCAAGTCACGGGGGAGGGGGTGGTGGAGTTTGCGAGTTTGCGATCCTTCTGAAGGAAAAGTCTCCAGCGGATCCAGTGCAGGCGCCCACGCGCGCCCACCCGGCGATACGTCGGCGGACCCAGCCAGCAGCGGGGCGCCCACGGGGCACCAGCGAGGCGCCCGCGAGGCGCCCGCGCAAGGCGACGCCTCGGCGGCCCCAGGCGGCGCACAGGGCGCACGCGCGGCGCCAGCCAGGCGAAGTCTCGGCGGACCCCGCCGACCAAGGAAGGGCACGAAGCAGCAGCCCTGAAGAGCAAGCCCCGTGACAGACAACAAAGGACATTCCTGCCGCGGCGTAGACCTACCATCCCCCGAAGCAAATGAGGAGGAGGCGCCAGATGGGAAGCTGGCCGATGTCGTCGTCGCCGCCGCCGTCGCCGCCACGCCCTGCCGTCAAGGGCGCGAAGCCGTCGGCGTCCATGCCATCCACGCCGCGGTGCCTTGGCGGCGCGCACACGGGGGCGTGGCGAGGGGGGCGTTTCCGTCAGATGGCCGAGGCCTGTCAGTCGATGGGTGAACAAAAGAGGGCCCCCCACCTGGCCCCCCTCCCCAGAAGGGGGAGGCCAGGTGGAGGGTGGGCGTACTCTTTGCGCCGCTTGTGCGAAACATCCTCCCAATCGGTTTCCGAAACTCCCTGGCTCAGCCCCAGAGGGGGGAGAGGGCCAGGTGGAGAACACGAAAGCATCTGAGAAGGCCCCTGCCTTTGTATCGGAAGGGCCCCACACACCCCGAGTGGAACCCGCTCAAAAACCGGTCCCATGACTGCTTCCAAGATCCCGCCTGTTGGCTCTCGAGGCTTCTCGTCCTGACTCGTTATTTGACGGTCCAGGGGCCCAGCAGGGGTCCCAGAAGCCAGAAATGGCCAAACACAGTCCGTCGTGATTGCGCGACGCGAGGAGGTCACTCGAACTGATCGGATTCAGAGGCAGGAGTCGAAGGTCCACTGACCTCCAGGCACGCCCGCACGAAGACGGGCAAGCTGTCTGGTGTGCTTAGATAATCACGGCAGTGGAATGAGTATGAGACAACTGCTGTGCATCCTTGGTAGTAGTGGGAGGAGGAGGAGGAGGAAAAGGAGAAATGAGGAGGAGAAACGAGGAGGAGGAGGAGGAGGAACAGGGAGGAAGACGAGAAGGAGGAGAAGGGAGATGGAGGAATCCGACACAAAGCCGCTAGAACATCATGGACACACACACACACACACACGCTTCGAAAGGCCAATCCTGGTCAATACCTTCCGAAATGCGCCCCAAGGCCGCCGCGACGGGAGCAACCGTACACCCGCCCCCCGCGAATAAAGGGCGAGGCGAAGACGTCGCCGTTGTCGTCGTCTTCGTCTTCGTCGTGGAGGCATCAGCATCCTCCATCCTGCATTCTCCATCATCCTCCATCCTCCCTCCCCAATCCTCCCTCCCCTCCTCCTTCTCCGAGGCCAGGGGGTGCCCACAAGCGCCCCGTGAACCCACCGACTCCCGCATGGCCGATGGAGGATCAGTCAGCATCGAATCGGGGAACCCGATCGGGTCGGAACGTGCGTCGAAACGGCCCACGTCGGCTCGGAACCATAATCAGATCGGATCGGTCGGATCGAGATGGGGAGATGGGCCCCGGGAGGAGGCGGAGGAACCACAATAGCATAAACATGTCGGAGATCCGCGATGGTGTCTAGGGTCGGCGCTGGACCCCCCGCGGCGCCAGGGGCGCCGCCACGGGGGACCAGAGCCGACACAAGAAATCCGCACGAACCTTCGGACGTACACGTTCATGCGTGTGTGTACTCGTCTTCTGGTTGTCATTAGTGTTCGTAGTTCTGTGATTCTGAATATTCGTACTACGAATCGTAGTCTTAATGTTACCTTTTATCTGTTTATTGATAGCATTATGATTACAATAGTATGAGTGTTTTGTGGTTCTAAGTAGTTACCGAATTAGCTTACTCGCAAAATGATTCGTAAAATTATTCGAACCATGAACAGGATTGTTTGCATTATGGTTTGTATATTTCATATTCTTCTTCGGCGGCGAGAAAGAAAGAGAGAGAGAGAGGGAAAAAAGAGAAAGAGAGAGTGAGAGAGAAGTGGGAAAGAGAGACAAACGAACAAAAGCAACAAAAATGAGAGGACGACGACGACGAAGGGGGGCAGGAGGGCCGCAGCAGCTGGCTGAGCTCCCTGGACACGCGGTCCAGCTCCCCAGACAGCTCAGGCCCGCTGCCGCCCTTGCCGCCGCCGGCCTCCAGCGCACGCGCGGGGGGGGGGAAACCTCCTCCCTCAACCTCCTCCTTCTCCTCCTCCTCCTCCTCCTCATCATCATCATCATCATCATCAGCATCAGCATCAGCATCAGCATCATCATCATCATCATCATCATCATCATCATCATCATCATCATCATCATCATCATCATCATCATCATCATCATCCTTTTCCTTAGAGATAACTCCTCCCTGTCCCACCCCGAGGCCGGTCGAAAGGGCGGGCTGGGCGTTTCGCTTGAGGCCTCGCCACCACGTATGACCCTGGTCAAAAATCAACAACAGCTTCACATATTCAGAGCGGGTGGTTTTCTAAATGTGGTTGGCGCCTTAGCGCCGCGCACACTCGTTTTCAAAAATGCGCAAGAGCTTCACGGATTGAGGCGGGTGATTTCAAAATGCGGCTCTCGCCTTGGCGCCACGCACATTCGTTTTCAAACATTTGCAAGAGCTTCACGGATTGAGGCCGGGTCGTTTTCAAAATGCGGCTCTCGCCATGGCGCCGCACACATTCGCCTTCAAGATTTGCAAGTGCTTCACGGATTGAGGGCGGGTCGTTTTCAAAATGTGGCTCTCGCCTTCGCGCCGCGCACATTTGTTTAAAAAATTGCAAGAGATTCACGGATTGAGGACGGGTCGTTTTCAAAATGCGGCTCTCGCCGCACCGCGCACATTCGATTCAAAAATTGCAAGAGCTTCATGGATTGAGGGCGGGACGCTTTTAA